GTTGCGCAGCTGCTGCTATGCAGCGCCCGACAATGCTGTACTTGATTGAAAATTAACTGTTTGGATGCCCTCTTGAGGGCTGCGTTGAAACCTCTTGCCCATAGCCCCTTCTCCCTGGGCTGTGCAGAAGCAGCGGGGCGAAGCCGCGGAGGCGCCCGCCCAGCGAAGGGGGGGGGGGGGGGACCGGAGCGCCAGCGGCGCAGCAGCAGTCGAACCGACGGCTGGGGAGGAGGAGGAGGAGGAGGAGGAGGAGGAGGAGGGAGGAGGGAGGAGGAGAGGAGGAGGGAGGAGGAGGGAGGAGGGAGGAGGAGGGAGGAGGAGGGAGGAGGAGGGAGGAAGAGGGAGGAGGAGGGAGGAGGAGGAGTAGGATGGACCGAGGAGCCCGCCCCCCGGGAGGGAGAGCAGGGCGGGCGGGCGCCCAGCCCTGCGCGCGCCAGGCGCCGAGGGGCGGCGAGTCGCGCGGGCTTGGTCGCATCGAGCGACAGCTGCTACAGCGTGGGTGGCAGCGTCGCGCAGCCACCTCGGTCAGACCCGCCCCCCGAGTCCACGTCCACCGCCTCCGCCCCCGACTATCTCATGGCGGCCTCCCCGAGGCGCAGCGCCGCAAGCACCCGACGCGATTCCTCGCTGAAAGGGCCCATCCTGGCCGGGAGCGGACTGTGCAAAGCCCCCAGGTCCAGGGGGAGAGCATTGTCGGGGCCCTGGTAAACTCTCACTCGTTCAGAACGAGTGAAAGACAGAGAGATAGAGAGAGAGGGAGAGAGAGAGAGAGAGAGAGAGGGAGAGAGAGAGAGACAGAGAGATAGAAAGAGAGAGAGAGAGAGCAGAAGAGAGAGAGAGAGAGAGAGCGATAGAGAGTTAGATATTATAGAACGAGTCAGAGAGATGTAGGGACGGGGGCACGAGACAGAGAAACCAGGAGAGATAAATATTGAGAAACAGAGAGACAGAGAGAGAGAGATAGGGAGGGACAGAGAGAGCCCCCGCCGCCCCGCCGAGACGTTGCTTGCGCCTGCTGGATCGGCGCCAGGACGCCCGCCGCAGGGTCGGGGGGAAGGAGGAGGAGGAGGGCCAGGTAGGAGGAGTGCGAATAGGATTTGGAGGAGGAGGAGGATGAAGGAGGGAGGAAAGAAGGAGGAGGAGGGGCAGGAGGAGGAGGAGGAGAAGCGAGGAGGATAAGGAATGATGTAAAAAAGGGGATGATGAGGAGGAACATGAGAGCTCCTCTCTCCTCCTCCTCCCTACTCCTCCTCCTCTTGGGCGTGAGGAACCGCAAAACGAGGGGCGTGAGGGCCTTGAGCGGCAGGCACTCCTCCTCCTCCTCCTCATCCCCCCTCCTCCTCTTCCTCCTTCCCCCTCTTCTTCCTCCTCATCCTCCTCCTCCTCCTCCTCCTCCTAGCCATCGCTCTCGTTTGCCGAAATTCAGGCTACTTGCGCTAGCGTTTCGTTTCCGAGTTTCGAAGTTCATTTTGAAGGGGGAAAAGTTGAGGCAGTTTCCTTTGGCGGCGGCTCTAGTTGAGCCTCGCCGCATTACCTGCGGGGCGAGTGGGGAACCTTACGTTTTAGGTTTTCTGGTTGAGCCGCGGAACCCATGTCTTACCACTCGTTCTAGGGTGCTTTCCCGCCAAGCAACGGAAAATGCGCGCGCATGTGCTGCGCGCTTCGCTCTGCTCCTGGGGGGGGGGCCGGGCAACGCTTCGCGAGGCCGTTGCATCTCCCATCGGGCAAGATCACGTAGCACGCGCAGCTCTGACATATGACTACACGGCCCTGCTGAATCGGCCCATGGTCAAGTTCACGGAAGGCGGCTAGGCCACCCACATGCGCACCTGGGCCAGGGCCCCTGGAGTCCAGAGAGGCTCCGCGAGGCGGGGGAGACGGCCCCAGGCCCCCACTGGCAAACGCGGCGGAGGTAGGGGGGGGGTCCAAGGATCCTTGGCCAGTTGGATGGCAGCAGGAGCGGCGGGCATGGACTCCGAAATGACCTCTGCCCCGCTCACCTCTTTCATAGGGGCTTGCCTGCTTACTGTTGCCCCGCTCCGGTCCTCCCCCCTCTCTTCCTCCCCCGTCCCCCCCCCCCTCCCGCGTAAGCTAAGCAGGCGAGTCGCTATGATGCTGCCGTTCTGTTTCACACACCATATGCTTCGTTCCCGCTCACCTGCTGAAAGAAATCGGAAGCTCTCCGCTGCTGGATCGCCGTCGGCTCGCCCCCTGCGACCAGCGCCAATACGCAATCCTTTCAGAGTGAGCTCCGTTCGAGCTGTGAGATTGCACCTCCTGCATCCGACTGGACAGATGCCAGACGGTACGACCTCGGGCACCAGTGCCACGACCGCCATCCACGGTCAGTCCGTCAAGGGACTGAGCTCCGGGCTCGACGACGCCCTTGCTCAGCAGAGTGCGGCCCAGGATCGGTCGGGCGCAGTTTGGCGCGCCCCGCAGATGACTGCCCCCCGAGCCCCCGCGTCTCGCTCAGTCCTCGGCGAGCGGCGCGCACTTTATTTTCGTTCGGATGCTTCGACGGGCGCCGAGGGCAACCTCGGCCTCGCTCGAAGATGCCCATCGGCTCCTCGCCCTCGGCTCCAGGGGCCGCCTCGCGGCGCAGACCCTTGATCGAGACGAATTGCCCAGGACATCGTCTCGAGGTGAGAGACAGAGACAGCAGGAAGACCAGCTCGCGTCTGCGCTTGCGACCTCCAGAAGAGCATCGCGCTGAATTCCCATCCCCAGCCGCGGCGTCCAACTCCTCCGATAACTTCGGAAGCCCAGCGAGGCATGCCTGATGGCCAATCCTGGGGGCCCCGCCGATACGACGCCGCTTCGTGTTCGACGCAATATTTTCATCGAGAAACGCGCCATTGTTCAAGATGGGCGAGGCCCGTCACACTGCCCAGGAATAGCCCGGTAAGGAGGGCCCCCCGGCTAAGTCGAACGGGATCGGCGGAAATGTTTTCGGGATGCCCGCAAAACTTCCGGGTCACTCGCGAATCCTTGGAAGATGATGGCATCCGGCGCTTGGCCTGAGGCTTTGCTTACAAAAAACAAGGATACGCTCGACGCGGTTCTCCCGCGCCACTTTTGAAGATGAATCAGACCGACCAGGTCGCTCTAATCCTTCTTTGGTCGGGGCCCCAATTTGTTGAAGCATGTGTTTGGTGAAGAAGGCTTCGCCTCTGTCACCAATTCTTCTAGTCGCTCGGACTCGGAGTCGGGTGAGCCCAGCAATGCCTCTCACGATGGCGGGGGCGCGCCATCCAGGTGGTCTCTCCCTTTCTTCCCTCCGTATTATGCCTCTCCTTCTCTTCTCTCACTTGGAACGCTAGGGGCTCTTCGCTGCCATCACCTCTTTCCCCCTGCGTGCATCATAGCGGCGCAATATGCTTTCGGCAAAATCTCGCTGGGCAGACGCTCTCTGCCAGCAGGAAACCCATGGGGCAACTGGAACTGCAAACGCATTGCGTCGCGATCTTCGTGGAGCGAAATCTTGGGTTCTCTGGGCGTGTCTTTGAGATTGCAGGTGGAATTCTGACCGTCTTATCCGCCCCTCTCTGTTCCCTCTTCGCGGGCATCCGGCACTCTGTTATCAATCCTGGGAAATTCTCTTACCGAAATGCACTGGTACACGTGGATGTCTCTGGGTGCTCAATGTCCATCTCCCTACTTCTGGCGAGCCCATTCGGGTCTTCTGTCGTTCTCCACGGTGCATCGAAAGGCATTCAAAGACGCAGGGAACGCTCTGGATCTGATCGGGGGTGGCTTCAACTTTGCTCGGGAGGAGGACGGGAGGCAGAACGTCGATGGTATTGGGTGGCGTCCTGGGGACCAGCACCGACGCGACATGTTTGCTCGGGAAATTCCTCGCTGGACAGAAATACGCCAGCCAGACCCCGCTCGTCAGGATATACACAACTGGGCGCTGTTGCATGTAAGCCGCCTCGACCGTCTGTCTCTGCCTCGCCAATCCCGCTGTTATCCTCTCTGACTTCTACGATGAGAATTATGAGTATGCTGATGGTGGTGATGATGATTGTGATGATGATGATGATGATGATGATGCTGCTGGTGATGATGGCGATGGTGTTTCTGATGGTGGTGATGATGACGACGGAATAATAGCGAACATGACTGTGACTATGGGCATGACGATGAAGCTGATGATGCTGACGACGCTGATGCTGCTGATGATGATGACGATGCTGATGATGACGACGATGCTGATGCTGATGCTGATGATGATGATGATGATGATGTGGACGATTCGGGGCCATCTTGTTTCTTCTTTGTGCAAACGGCGGAGGGCGGCCTCGAGGGATACGCCAGCAGTGAAGCACAGACACGGTGAAACATTAAAAGCTCAAGTGGGTAGGGGGGGGCCAGGGGTGGGGGTGGTATCTTTGTGTAGGTGGCTTGTGCGTTTTCTGCTTCCTCATTGCCTTTCTCGTTTTCGGTATATTTATGCATTTCTCTTTCTCATTATCTCTCTCTCTCTCTCTCTTGCATGCCTCCAGGTCCAAGTGGGTTCGCCGTTTATCCAAAGATACCAGTGATCATGCACTTTGTCATGCGAGCGCGAATGGAATATTTGCGGGATCTGGTCGAAACGTGCTTCGCCAGAGGAGCTTCGCGGGAGCCGAGCGGGAGCGGTCGGAAGAGAGTCGGCGGGTTTCTCGGGCTGAAGACAGCTTGGAATCATTGCAGAAAGCGCGGGCAGAAGCGCCATGGTTTCTAGATTTGGCGTTGCAGGAAAACAAACATATGCATATCCACGCGTGCGCGTGTAATACATACATATATATATATATATATATATAATATATATATATATATATATATATATATATATATATATCACGTACATTGGTACGCGCGCGCAGTGGTAATGACAACATCTAAAACACGCCCGCGGTATACTTTACAACGGTGCTCATGTAGGTTTGGGCTCAAGTCTTATCGGGGTGCCGAGCCCGAGGCGGTCTGGTCTTGTTTCGCCGCCGCGCCAGGTCGGCGCGAGATGGCCGCCAGCTCAGGCGCGCAGTCCTCTTCGGGCGCGCCATCGACGCTGGCCCAGCAGTACGAGCAGGAAGAAGATAGCCCGATCTCCTTCGAGCTGGCGGTGAAGGTGACGGGCGCGCTAGAAGCCCGACCATCGCGACGGCCCGCGGCGGGCCATCCAGCCGGTGCACCTGCCGCTCATGGACGAGCTCACTTCGCGCGCAAAGCCAGGCACGCTTCCCGTGACGCACCTCGTCGACGTGTGCTTGGGCGTCGATGACGATTTCGACAAGGTCGCCGTGCTGGGCCTGATGCAGAACCACGAGCATCTCCAACTCCCAGGCGTTCTCCGCCCGAAGGCCGTGATAGCATTCAACTTCCACATGAACCTGCGCATGCTTCCAGCCGAGAACAACAAGGTTGAGGTGTTCAAGCACTTCGTGTTCGACGGGAAGCCCCATCTCGACATCGCGCGGCGCGTGTGCCAGGGTGGCGCGATCTTGGTGAATTTCGGAGCAAACAAGAGGTTTGGACCGTCAGCTTTCATCTACCTTTTCCAGCGCATGGGCGGCTTCCAGGTTACGTGCCATACCTTCAGGACGAAGTCGGGCAAGCGCTCCGACAGGATGGAGACGGCGCAGCAGATCTCCGACGGTTACGACTTCATCGAGAAGAACAAGCACTTCTTCACCAAGAGAGGTTGCAAAATGCGCCGCTGGGTCGACACAGAGACGCAGAGGGAGGAATCTCCGATCTTCGGCTGGAACGTCGGCCGCGTCCTCGCTGCCATCAAGGACCTGAAGGAAGCGGACGCCCAGGCAGCGCCCGAGGAGGAGTATCCGCTATTCTGGTGCCATATCCAGCCGTGGCTCCAGGCCATCCTCGAAAAGCACATGGACAAATGGGACGAGGACGCGCAGCTGTGGCTTGGAATCGGCGGGAGCGGCAAGTCCAGCGTGCAGTACATCGTCGGTTTCGCCATGGCGCGCTACCGCATCTTCAAAATGGACCTCGTCGGCGCGACGGCCGGCGTTCGCTCCTCCACGGACTTCGACCACTTCCGCGAGGACGCTGGCCAACCGCACATCTCTACCATGTTCGACGATGGCGATCTGGACCGAATGCCTCCGAGAAAGATAAAGGCATTTTTCGATAAGAAGAAAAAGTCTCATATGACAACGGAAAGGTATTCGAGCACCAAGTTCGACGGCAAGGAGCATCACAGCGCGGGGGACAATAAGGTGGACTTGGACGCAGAGCCCCACATCACCCTCGACGGTCAGAGGTTGGAGTTGCCGTTTCGGAAATCAAGTTTCTCTGCCCCCTCTGACTGGAGCCTGGTTGAGTGCGCTTGCGATCGTCGCTGGCAGGTGGGCCCCTGCTTTCGGCGGGCCAGATCGGTTGGCCAGCGGCGATCGCAAGACTCGCAGACGTGGCTCTGGGGAGGGCCTGCAGCAGAGAAATCGGTTTTCCGCAAGGCATCCACAGTCGAAGGGCTTCGGGTACACTGGCATTACCTACCAGGTTTTCGCCAAGATGTTCCGGCCTGCGTTCCACGTGGAAATGAGCCAGCCTGACATTGATGCCGTATTGCGACGCGTGCAAGTATGTGTGAACACGGAGAAGTCGTTCTTCGTGCGCCCCGCTGGAGTCTGCGACGAGGTCAAGATCGAGCGCTACGAGCTCAAGACGCCGAAGTTCATCACTGACGAGGCACTCCAGATCCTGAAGCGCTGGAAGAAGACTGGCGAGCTCATCCCTGTGGCCGCGAGAACCCAGATGGAGGCAGAGGAACTCGAGCTATTCAAGAAGAAGCTGTGGTCTGGGGGCGGCTCGGCCAGCAGCGCTGCCGCCGCTGGCGCGGATGTGAAGGAGGAGATGCATTCGCCACCCCCATCACAGAGGAGGCCCGCGTTCGCGCGACCCCTCTCCCTCGCAGGGGGCGCCGAGATCGACTTGGACGACGTCTCGTCGCCGAGCGGGCCGAGCAAGAAGATGCGCGCGGGTGGCGACGCCGACGCCGCGGGCAGCCGCGCGTCGCAGGGCGAGGGGGGCGACCACATCGTCGACTAGCACGGCGAAGATCCTGAGCAGATGGACTGACGGGGGGCGGGGCGCGTGCTGAGAGCGGGGCCGAGCCGCCTCGCTGCCGAGCAGCAGCTATCGCGCTCGCCGCGATGGCGCGGCTGGCCTGTCTAGGCAACCGTTTTCCAGGGGCGACGCCAGTGTCGCGCGGGCATCAGTCACGCCCGAGCGACGGCGCGCGGGGCGGACGAGCAGGAGGGCGAGGGGATGCTCCATGCGAGGAGCGTCGCATGGAGTCCGACAGTGGTCACTCGAGCGCGCGGAGCGGATGCGCCTCGCATGTTGCCGAACCCCCATTTCTGCGACGAGTAGTTGTCTCTCTTGTCGGAGTTGAGTGTCGCACTGACAACCCCCTCCTGGGCCTCGATCAGTTCGCCGCGTGGTTGTCCGCGCAGGTTTGAAATTAGTCATCCGAGCACGTGGGACGGATTTGGCCCTCATATTGCCAAATCCGCCCCATCTGCATCGGAACCGAGGGCCCGAGAGTGATCGCTGGAGCTCATTGAACGGATTTGGCCCTTGAATTGCCAAATCCGTTCCGCAGTCGATGAATGGTTGCACTGCTCGTTGGGCCCGAATGTGGTTTTGATTGGCGCTCGGCTGGGCCGTGGACGATTCACGTGGAATTTCGAATGCAGTCGTCCGAACGTGGCCGCTGGGGCACGCAGATCTGATTTGCCATTCACGTTGCCAAGCCCGATCGAAATTGCATCGAAACGAAGGGTCCGAAAGGGATCCCTGGAACACGCGGAACGGATGTGGTCTCTGCGTTGTCAAATCCGTTCTGCATTTGGTCGCGCTGCTCGTTGAGCTTGAAATTCGTTTTGATTGGCGCCCGGCTGGGCTGTGAACGACTCGCCGCGCGTTCGAATCCAATAGTCCGAACGTAAACCTTCAACCCTGCGGAACGGATTTGGTACCCATGATGCCAAATCCGTTCTATCCGCGATGAGGCGTTGTTCTGCTCGTTGGGGTCGCATGCCTTTCTGCCGCACTCCCCTTCCTCTCCCGTCGCGGCCGATCGGCTCGCCGAGCGTTCCCCCGACGCACCGGGCTCGCCCAGTCCGTTCGTTTATCGACCTGCAGGCGGCCCTTTCCCCGCCTTTCTTCCCGCTTGCAGCCACTATGGCCGCCTCCAATGTCGTGCTGAATGGGTTCTTCTGCATCCACGTGCCATCCACGGGTGATCGAGCGTGGATGCCCGTTGACGTCCGCGGCATCGCCCTGGTCTATACAATTCGATCGGAGAGGCGGGACCCATGTGCGGTCGATGTCATGATTTCTTAAGTAACGAAATGCAATCTTACGATTGCATTTCATGTGTCGCGCCGCCCCATCGATGGTCGACGTCGGTTTCGCGCGTAGCTTCGTTGCCCGCGCACCAAGGCGAGCAAGTGGTTGTCCGACCAGCACCTCGCCTCGTGGGTCCTGGTTGCGGCGAACCTCGGCTGGGTCCCCTCGGAGGCGCCTGGCTTGCTGTCGAAGCGCTCGCATCGGCGGCTCACCCGAGTCGCTCCTCGGAGCGCCGCCCTGGCCTCGAACGCGGCATCTGGCCGATGCGCGGTCGGCGCGGCGACCGAGGAGTGACTCGGCTGCGCTGCCGACGCGAGCGCTTCGACGGTGCCACCGCAGGTATGGAGCAACTTGCTGCGGGTGTTACCGAAGGTGGTGGTTGGCTACATTTACTTGTATGCCAGCGACCTGGACGGGATGCCCCCCGACTGGGCGGACCTCTTCGCGTCCGTCGGGGGGCACCTGGTCACAGCAGCCTGCGCACCGCCCGTGATCTTTCGCATCTAAGGAGCTGCCTTGGATAGCCTATGTAGAGCAGCCTGCGGGGACCATGTGATATGGGGTCCAGGTCACCGTTTTTGAACTGTTGCGCATGGAGACTGAATCGCTGTATCGTTTACGTGAGAAACAAACGTGGCGCCTCTCGCGCTGCTATATTTGCCGCTGCCGCTTCTGCCTGCCTGCCGCTTGTTTGCTTTTGCTGTTTCGGGGCCGCTTGCCGCCGCCTCTCCAGCGACGGTTAGCTTGCTTTCGATGCGCGGTGTGTAGGATTTGCATGATATCGTTTTCTCTTGTTGCGGTAGAACGCTTGCACATCCACTTCGGAATCGCTGCCGGGCTCGGCGCATGGCTCATTAAAAACCAAGACGGAGATCTTGGGGCTCTCGGGGCGCAGAGAGCATCGTTGTGTCAAACAGAGAGCATCGTTGCGCCTCGCCACGATCTTGGGGCTCTCGGGGCGATCTTGGGCTGTCTTGAGGCCCTCTTGTGCCGTCTTGGGGATTATTGTTGCGCATGCGTCGACCTATGTGATCGCATCGATTTCTCCCTCCCTCTCCTCAGTTTTCTTTCTCTCTCTCTCTCTCTCTCTCTCTCTCTCTCTCTCTCTCTCTCTCTCTCTCTTTCTGTCATCTTTCATGGCTGGTGATATCTAGCTGCCTGCGGCAAGTCCCGCCGCCTTTCCAGTCCAGCATGTTCGGCGGCCCTTTTGAAGGGGCACCGAAGGCCGTACTCGAGAGCGACGACCAACATGATAACGGTGATAATGATGATGATGATGACGATGACGATGATGACGATGATGATGATGATGGTGACGTGTGCAAGCAGTAAATGACAGAAGAACAACGGCGCCACAGATGCGCCACCACGTGGTAACATATGGGAAACGCATTAGAAATGCTTCAAGGCCTCAGCGTGCGAACGCACTATTAGTTCATGTATTTACAATTTCTAACACTATTATTCAGGGGGTTCGTGTGAGAGCAACGCGTGCTAGAAAAAACAGCTGCGCCACAGATGCGCCACAAGTGTGAAAACGTATTGGAAACGCATTAGAAACGCTTGAAGGCTTAAACGTGCGAACACACTATTACTTCATGTATTTATTGTTTTTAATCAGATTATTTGGGAATCTGCGCGAAAACATTAAATGCCAGAAAAAAAACAGCGGCGCCACAGATGCGCTACAGTGTGGAAACATATGGGGAACGTGTTAGAAACGATTGAATGCGTAAACGCGCGAACACACTATTACGTTATGTATTTATTGTTCTTAATGAGATTCGTTGGTGTTCTATGTGAAACATAAGGGAACCAATGACAACGATATGTTTTCCAATATTCTCATTCAAAAACAAAAAATGGCTGTGTGTTCTAGTTTTTTTTGTAATTGCAAATCAATGAAAACGCTGTGTTTTACAGCGTTTCCGTAAACAAATAATAATAACGCTGTGGTTTCCAATCGTTCTATGTGAAATTACATAAAAAACGTTATATGTTTTAGTTGGATCAAACAAAAATCAATAACAACGCAAGGTTTTTCCATTTTTCCCCAACCCTCCTTGGTTGGGTACTTGTTTTGAATAGAGCACTGCGGTCTCCACCTTCCTTCCTTCCTTCCTTCCTTCCTTCCCGCCCCCTCCCGCCTCCTCCTCTCTTCTCTTGCGGGAGGGGCTGCGATCTGTGAAGCTGTCGCCACTTTCGAGGGCTGCTGGGGGGCCCAGCGGAGCGACGCCCTACGGGGATTCAGATTAGACCTCGCCATCCCTGGGGGGCTGCGATCTGTGAAACTGTCGCCACTTTCGAGGCTGCGTGGGGGGCCCAGCGGAGTGACGCCCTACGGGGATTCAGATTAGACCTCGCCATCCCTGGGGGGCTGCGATCTGTGAAACTGTCGCCACTTTCGAGGCCTGCTGGGGGGCCCAGCGGAGTGACGCCCTACGGGGATTCAGATTAGACCTCGCCATCCCTGGGGGGCTGCGATCTGTGAAACTGTCGCCACTTTCGAGGCTGCTGGGGGGCCCAGCGGAGTGACGCCCTACGGGGATTCAGATTAGACCTCGCCATCCCTGGGGGGCTGCGATCTGTGAAACTGTCGCCACTTTCGAGGCCTGCTGGGGGGCCCAGCGGAGTGACGCCCTACGGGGATTCAGATTAGACCTCGCCATCCCTGGGGGGCTGCGATCTGTGAAACTGTCGCCACTTTCGAGGCCTGCTGGGGGGCCCAGCGGAGTGACGCACCTACGGGACTCAAATTAGACCTCGCCATCCCTGGGGGCTGCGATCTGTGAAACTGTCGCCACTTTCGAGGCCTGCTGGGGGGCCCAGCACAGTGACGCCACACGCGGATTCAAATTAGACCTCGCCATCCCTGGGGGGCTGCGATCTGTGAAACTGTCGCCACTTTCGAGGCTGCTGGGGGGCCCAGCGGAGTGACGCCCTACGGGGATTCAGATTAGACCTCGCCATCCCTGGGGGGCTGCGATCTGCGAAACTGTCGCCACTTTCGAGGCCGGCCTGCTGGGGGGCCCAGCACAGTGAGGGCCACGCGCGGATTCAAATTAGACCTCGCCATCCCTGGGGGGCTGCGATCTGCGAAACTGTGTGAAACTTCGGCCACTTTCGAGGGCTGCTGGGGGGGCCCCGGCGAGTGACGCCCCTACGGGATCAGATTAGACCCTCAGGGGCCACCCCTGGGTGGCTGCTATCTGTGAAGCCGTCGCCACTTTCGAGGATGCTGGCGGGGGCCCAGCGAGAGTGACGCCTACAGGGGCACTCAGATTAGAGACCTCGCCATACCCTGGGGGAGCTGCGGATCTGGCGACACTGTCCGCCACTTTCGAAGGGCTTCTGGGGGCCCAGCGAGTGACGCCCTGCCATACGGGGATTCAGACTAAACCTCGCCATTCTGGGGGGCTGCGATCTCTGGAACTGTCGCCACTTTCTAGGGCTGCTGGGGGGGCCCTGCTGAAGTGACGCCCTACGGGGATTCAGATACTGATCCTCGCCATCCTGGGGGGGTGCGACCTGGAAGCTGTCGCCACTTTCGAGGCTGCCTGTGGGGGCCCGGCGGAGTGACCCCCTACGGATTCAGATTAGACCTCGCCATTCCTGGGGGGCTGCGATCTGTGAAACTGTCGCCACTTTCGAGGGCTGCTGGGGGCCCAGCGGAGTGACGCCCTACGGGGATTCAG